TCATTTTAATAATATAATAAAAACTTAATAATATAATATAACTCATTTTAATAATATAATTAAAAAATAAACTTTATTTTAACGTCACAGTAAGTTTTGGAATCACATTTCTTATTTATTTATGTATTTTTCTAATAAAGATAGAAAACGTTCTCTTTGGGCGTAATTTTCTTGATGATGTTTTTCTCTTTGTTCTTTTAATTCTGCACTCCAGTTCGGTACTTTAGTTCGTCTTTTCCTTATCGGTCGATTATTTAAAGAGTGGTTCGAAATTTTCTGTGTCCTGATCTAAGTATTCATTATTTTTATTTAAAGCATTTGCATTTATTGTAAATCCGCCTTGATGCTATTGATAAAGGTGTAAATGTTGGATTCGTGTTTAACATATCATTCATTTTATCAAAATGTTCCCAGTTGTGTCTTCCTTCACCAGTATGATTGTTTGCATCCTTTAACGTTTTATATTTTTTCTTCATACTGTTCCATTTGGTACTACAATTTTCTGCGGTCAAATTGTAACCATGTATGTTCATAGATAGAGCAATAATTTTCCATATTTGTTTGTTGCATGGATGCCTGACAGATTCTGGATGCTCACTCATTTTTGATAGCAACAATTTGACCATCTCGTTTGTCCATTGAACTCTGTAATTCACCAATTTTATGAAAATTATCTATTATTGCAAAATATTAGAATAATAAATTTGTAGAGATGATATTATGTTCGTTTTCTATTTACATTTTGTACAATAACTTTGTTAATAATCAATATTTTAAAACAGTGCTCGGAACAGTTTTCAAATATAAAAATACATTATACAAAATATCGACTATTGCATTCGTATATTAGCATTATGGTGGACTACTAACAAAATGATTCTATAATTGTTTAAATTTGTCATCTATTAACAAAGATATTAAACAAAGATTTTAAAGATGGTCATAATATTTACAATGGCTATAATAATATTATATCTTGTCCTTTACATAACTTTGTTTTTACTTACAAATTTTTTATGTACATACCACAAACATTTACTTCTCTCGAGTAGTCTTCCATTGCAGAAAGCAAAACCCTGTCGAAAACAGATCCATTAAAATTCGTTAGAATAACCGTGCTTTGGTTCTTGCTGATAAAATATATTAAGTAACAAAACAATACTACGTGATTTTATGATATAATAGGATTTTATGATACATAGGATTTTACAAAATTATTACCTATGTGATGTATCTGTCACGATATTGTTCTGCCTAATCCACTGCTTGCAGTTGTGAGACAGCATTGGGTAGCTTTGGGTTGTCATGAATCATAATAGTAGTAGATGTTGATGTCTGTAACTTATTTCGGCCCTAGTGGAACTAACTCTAACTCGAATTGTCGTAAACA